ATGCGCATCAAGCATGCCTCAGCTTCCGACGCAGACTCCGTTGCGCCAGCGTCGGTTGCCCAAAAAGGGGGGGGGGGGGGGGGGGCAAAAACGGAACGTCGTGCAAGCATGCAACCAAGAATGGTCTGGCCGATGCAGCTTCATGTTCTCCTTCGCGCTCGCTGCGATTACCTGCGCCCGCCGTGGAGCCGCGCGGGCGGTTTCCCTGGCTCGGGGCTCCGCGACCCATTCGCCGATGCCCACAATTTGCACGCCGTTGCCGAATGGGCGCCTGACATCAGCCTCAAAAAAATTAAGGGTCATGCTCGTGGAACTGCAGGGGATGCCCAAAATCGCCCCATCGATGAGCAACGTGTCCAGCCTTGCGATGAACGGGGCGGCCCTTGCGCGGGGGGCGGCGGCGCCGGGGTCGCCGCTGCCGCCAGCTGCGCCCCGCGAGGAATGCTCCGTCGCCAGGTCCGCCGGCAAGCCGCCGAGCAGCAAGCGCGAGCTGTTCTCGCCCCCGAGCCTTCCTTCCATGGAAGTTCGGACGAGAACGCGCCGATCCTGGTCGCCCCCCTTGGATCCCTCTCCGAGCGCATTGAATATAACGTTCCCACGTCGGCTTTTCCGCGCCGCGGGGCCTCGCCCGACTGTTGAAACGCCGGGGGGCCCAGCGAAAGTTTTTGACGAACGCAATCTCGCCTTCCAGCTGCGGCGCCCCCACTGCGGCGCGGAACGCGCTGGGCGCAATCAGAGACTTGGCCAGACTTGGCGGCTTCTTACCCGTTTCCGGAAGCACGTCCGTCACCTTGATCTCGCTGCCCCCCTGTGTCATTGAATTGGCAAGCAGCTTCTGGGCCGAATGCGCTTCGCCCCATGCGCGAAACGCCAGCCGAGGGAACGCGCCCGTTGCAGCCAGGGGTGCGCATAGATCCGCCGCATCGCTGCGCCATGCCCGCATCTCCCCTCGCGCATGCCCGCGCAGTTCCACGCCCAATTCCCCGCCTGCCGCCTGGCGCGCGCGACGCGCGCAATCCTCCAGCGTGGAAGCCTTGCCGTCGCAATCCATGGCCCGCGGGAACTCCCGCAGCCCGATCGCCCGGCCCACGATCCAAAGTCCTTCGGGGCCCAGCTGTTCCAGCCAGCCCGCCATGAGACCGTAGCTCGGGAGAAAGTCCAGAGCCTCTGGAATAGACCGCAGCGCGGCGCCGATCGACCTGGCACGCGCGGTCGAGACCGTCCGCGGCCAACCGAAGAACCGCGCTCCCTCTTTGAGAATTCTCTGGGCTATGAGTTTTTCGCATTGAGCCATTGCGGTCACCACCTGGCGGCACTGTTGCGAAGACTCCAAAACTCCGCCCCCCCCCCCCCCCCCACCCCCCCCCCCCCCCCCCCCCCCCCCCCCCCCCCCCCCCGCCGAGGAACGCACCCCGCCACGCATCGAAACTTCTGAAGGAACTGGGCGTCTCCAAGAGTGCGCGGGTGGCGACCACTGCGCGGCACCCAGGGCGCGGGTCGGCAGATGTTGCGGCTTGGGACGGTTGCGGCTGTTGCGCAGCCGGCGCAGCTGTTCTCCACGAGTGCGCAGCTGTTGCGGTTGTTGCGGCTTGGAACGCCTTCCGCGGTGCGCGCCTTCCGCTCGAACCCGCACTTGCCGCGCCGCTTCCGCTGCTAGGTGCTCCTCGCTCTGTGCGCAGCGCGCGAGGTTCTCGCGACGATGGAAACTCCCGCCGCCCCGGCACATGGAGCCCTTGAGCGCCGAACAGAACTGCGCAGCCTATCCAAGTTCCGCGCTTCAGGGTCACTGGATTCGCCGCAGACAGAGTGGCGCTCCAAGACACTTTTTTTTCAAAATGTGCACGCGCCCCAAGTCATGATGTGCTTTGGGTAGTCGCTGCTGTTGACGTGCTCCTCCAGGGTCTTGGACGCAGGCTCAAACTTCTCGACTGCTTTGCTCGGGCCAGCCTTCGCCTTAGCCTTCGCTGTTTCAACTACGGGTGCCTCGCTGCTGGAGCCGCTGTCCTCTGCGGAACCGCTGCTGGAGCTGCTGCTGGAACCGCTGCTGGAGCCGCTGTTGCAACCGTCGGCCTCGGCAACTCCAGCGGCGTCGGCAACTCCGTCGGCGCCGTCGGCGTCGGATACTACTACGTCGGCTTCGGCGCCCGAGCTGTTGCAACCACGGCTCGAGGGGGCCGCAGGGCTCGAGGGGGCCGCGGGGCTCGAGGGGGCCGCGCGGCTCGAGGAGGCCGCGGGGCTCGAGGGGGCGCAATGCTCGAGGAGGCCGCGCGGCTCGATGAAGCCGCACGGCTCGAGGGGGCCGCGCGGCTCGAGGAGGCCGCGGGGCTCGAGGGGGCCGCGCGGCTCGAGGGGGGAACGCGGCTCGAGGAAGGGCCGCGCGGCTCGAAGAGGGGGCCGCGCGGCTCGAAGAGGGGCGCGGGGACGACGGCATAAGGTCGTCGTCCCCGCGACCTTCTTCGAGCCTGGCTTGACCCGAGTCCTACGGAACATGATGGTGACGGTAACGGTAACGGTAACGGTAACGGTGACGGTGACGGTGACGGTGACGGTGATGGTGATGATGATGATGATGTTGGTGTTGATGTTAATGTTAATGTTGATGATGATGACGATGACGATGATGATGATGATGATGATGATGATGATGATGATGATGATGATGATAATGATGCTGACGCTGATGCTGATGCTGATGCTGATGCTGATGATGATGATGATGATGATGATGATGATGATGATGATGGTGATGGTGATGGTGATGGTGATGGTGATGATGGTGATGATTTTGGTTGTAGATCTAAAAATAAGATGGTCACCATCATCACCATCGACATCAGCATCACCACATGGAAACACTCAACGGACTCAACTACAACCCGCCCTACAAACAGCCAGCTATGGGGTCTACGAAACGTGTGAAGGGTGTGCCAAAATGGGGCGGCGGTGCCATGCGGACGCTCACGCTGGGGCCTTAGGTGGAGCTCCCTATGGGGCCACGAACCGTGTGAGGGGCGTGTCAAAATGGGGCGGCGGTGCCATGCGGACGCCCCGCTGGGGCCTTCGGTGGAGCTCCCTATGGTGTGAAGGGTGTGCCGAAAGAAAGCGGCGGTGCCATGCCGGCGCTCCCGCTGGGGCCTTCGGTGGAACTCCATATGGGGCCACGAACCGTGTGAAGGGTGTGCCAAAATGAGGCGGCGGTGCCATGCGGACACTCCCGCTGGGGCCTTCGGTGGACCTCCGTATGGGGCCACGAACCGTGTGAAAGGTGTGCCAAATGGGGCGGCGATGCCATGGACGCTCCCGGTGGGGCCTTCGGTGAAGCTCCCTATGGGGCCACAAACCGTGTCAAGGGTGTGCCAAAATGTGGCGGCGGTGCCATGCGGGCCCTCCCGCTGGGGCCTTCGATGGGGCTCCTTATGAGACCACGATCCTTGCGAGGGGTGTGCCAAAATGGGGCGGCGGTGTAATGCGGACGCTCCCGTTGGGGCCTTCGGTGGACCTCCCTATGGGGCCACGAACCGTGTGAACGGTGCGCCAAAATGGGGCGGCGGTGCCATGCGGACGCTCGCGCTGGGGCCTTCGGCAAAGCTCCCTATGGGGCCACGAACCGTGTGAGGGATGTGCCAAAATGGGGCGGCGGTGCCATGCGGGCACTCCCGCTGGGGCCTTCGGTGGAGCTCCCTATGGGGCCACAAACCGTGTGCTGGGTGTGCCAAAATGAGGCGGCGGTGCCATGCGGACTCTCCCACTGGGGCCTTCGGTAGAACTCCCGACGGGGCCACGAACCGTGTGAAGGGTGTGCCGAAATGGGGCGGCGGTTCCCTGCGGACGCTCCCGCTGAGGCCTTCGGTGGAGCTTCCTATGAAGCCACGAACCGTGTGAAGGATTTACCAAAATGGGGCGGCGGTGCCATGCGGACGCTCCCGCCGGGGCCTTCGGCGGAGCTCCCTACGGTGCCACGAACCGTGTGAGGGGCGCGGCGCTGACGATGGCGATGGTGATGATCATGATGATGTGGATCATGACGATGGCGATGATGATGACGATGACGATGACGATGACGATGACGAGGCGGACGGGAGAAGGGAGGAGGGGGAGGAGGGAGGGGGCAGCGGGAGGTGAGGTGAGGTGACGCGGGGCGTTGTCTCTTCAAAACGAGACCCCAACACCGCAAGATGTTTGGGAAAAAACAATATGCCCCGGGCCCTCGATCACCGAGGTTTGTAATGTTCCTGGATAGTTTCCAACACATTGAACAGTTACCGGTTATCGATTCTAAAACCCAGAGAACATTCCCAAGCATGTAATAACCCCCAGATAATTTCTGTGTAAGGCCCATCCTGGCACAGGAACTTTCTGAGCGTGTAGCCGCGAGCAACGGACGTAGCGTCGTTGCGCGCCACTGTATGTCCGCGGAGGGGCTTCTGGGGTGCCCCACAATCCCTGTGTGGACCACCACGCCTGCGTGCACAACAGCGCCTGTAAACACCAGATTACGTTCGCGCTACCAGTGGGCAAGTGTGAACAACACTGCCTGTGTACATCACAATGCCTCTTTACACTAAACTGCGTGTGAACGCCACAACTCTTGAGTACACCACTCCGCCTGCGTGCACCCCCAGGGCCCGTGTGCAGAACAATGCCTGTGCAAGCCACAGTCCTTGTGGACCACAGTGCATAATTATGAAACCACGTTGCCACAGCTGCGCGCGAAAGAAAAGACCTGCGTACACCATAGCTGTTGTAACAACATCATGCGTTTACACCACATCGCTTGTGTACGGCATACTACCAGAATACACCAAAGTACTTGTACACACCGAAGCAGCCGTGTGAACCCTAGCGCTCGTGTTCACCAGTGCCTGTGTACACCACAGGTGCTGCTGCAACAGGAGGTTCATCACAACGCCTCAATGCCGAAATACACCACAATGCCTGTGCACACACTGTCTATGTGAACTTCAGGAGGCCTCCAGAAGCCTCTGGTCGACGTCGCCGTCGCCGCTGCCATCATCCCAAGCCACTCCCAGCCCAAACATTACCAGGCCCCTCCACCACACCTCGCGGGCGCAAATCGTGACGCAACTGGCCCCCATCCAGTAACGGCCGCGATCGCTGGAAAAGAAAAGGGCTCCAAGCTGGAAGATCGCGTAGAAGTAACCATCCGCACTGATGTTGCAACAGGCGGATGCACTATCAGATGGTCCGGTGGTGGTCACGCGAAGCGCTTTGCATCGATGTAGAGGTCGATGCTGAAACGTCTAAACATTTTAACTGCAGATAACACCTCAGGAAAACGACAAGTAACCACCTACACCGACCCTTGTGAGGTCAATCCTGTGCCAAATGATGGCCTGGCAAAGATCGGTGTACGTACGCGTTTACTTGGCGTCCACAAAACCTCGTTCGCGTTCTTTCTGAATTCATCGTATAAGACTGACATTGGAAACTGGAAGCTAGTCTCCGCGATGATAGGCAACACGCCGACTCCGATCTCCGCGGCGTACATGATACCCTTAGCGAACATGGGATTCCGCAGGCAGTCTGTAGTACAAATAATCATAAGAAACATGGCGGTCACAGGCACTTGAGATGAATGCGGCACCAATTGAGGAATACGCTCCGCCCTGCCTTGACACTCCGCTATCAACAACTCCTTGACGATCAAAGCAGTGCAAATTGCATAGTTTTTTTTGTAATCCACCAGAATAAGATAAGATGCCTCTGAAGCAACAAGGCCGCTCTCACCTGACTTTCTCCGTTGAACGGTTTCCGGCGAGAAACACACATCCCCCTCGTTGGACTCTTCCGCGAAACTAAACCTCTTGCGCTTTGGTTTGAGCATTCTGTCCGTTACATCTACTAGCACCACCGTGTCAAACTGCGGAGGTAACTCGATCCGCCTACCAGACACACGGTCGCAGAGGCGTGTACAGATCGGAGCTGTCTGGCGCAACTATCTGCAATCCAAGCCCGTCAGTGGCTCCCCAAGGGTGTCGTCGTCGTTATGGTCGCTCTCGTCACCACTCTCCTCGTCATGTCGCCGTCCTCCTCCTCCTCCTCCTCTTCCTCCTCGTTCTCCTCCTCCTCCTCCTCCTCCTCCTCCTCCTCACCCCCATCCTCCGCGTCATCGTCGTCGTCGTCCCCATCGTCGTCGCCGTCGCCGTCTCGATCCTCCCCCCCGCCGACGTCGCCTGACCGCTGTCACCGTCGCCGTTCTGGTCGGGCGCACGCCAGGACCCACGGAGCTGCCCCGGCGTGCGCTCCGACCTGAACTCTTGGGCGGATGCAGCCACCGTGACGACGAGGCCACCTGGAGGCCCCCCAAAAAGAGCCGAGAGAGAATCTCCACAACTCCCGAAGCTCACGACGCGAGTGGGCAGCTACAGCCTTCAGGTCCCAACTCGGGCCTCCGGCCGCTCGGGAGCCTCTGGGCATCGCCGAAGCCTGAAAACCGCCTAGAACCGACGAGTCCATCCGAAGAAGAACAGGAAGCGAAACACACACAAACAGAAAACAAACAAAAAACACCTTGAGTGAAGGGGCCCTGGGATACACAAATAAATAGACATAAATGAAATGATTCCCAATCTTCCCCCGTATTTTCTGTGCTTTTATGTTCCCCCCCACTTCCAATATTTTCCCATGCTTTCCGGGGAATCTACGATTCATTGTCTGTATGTTCTCTCCCCTCCTGATTGAGCCTCGATCGTAGTCGTCGCGGCCGCGCGCTGTGCGTGCCCGCCGCGCGCTGGACTGGCATGGGGCGGCCTCGCCGCGCTCCTGGGCCTCGGCGCCGCAGCCGCCCCTGGCGCCGGCGGCGGCGGCTGCCCGCAGGGCTCGCAGCCCCCAACTCGGGCGGTGGACGTCCCGCGCCAGGCCTGCGCGTGGGCGACGCAGCCCGGCGGCCATGCCGGTCGACGCCACGCCTCCCGTCTTCGCGGGCTGACTGGCGATGCCCAGCCGCCGCTCGACCCAAGCGGCCCCCGGGCGGCAGCGGCAAGTGCGCCGCGACGCCCGGCCCCCGGCCCGAGATCGGGGGCGGTATAGAAGGCGGATGCCGCCCAGCTGTGGCCCGAACAGATGGAGTCGGAAGATCGCGCCGCATCGCCGATGCATCAGCGAGTCGGCGAGGCCTCGGCGCCCTTGGCGCGAACGAAACTGTGTTCCACCTCGAGCCGCGTCGTCAATGCATCGGCGATGCGGCGCGATCCTCCGACCCCAACAATTCGGACCCCATCCAGGAGGCGTAGATTCGGGGCGGCCACACCCGCCGCCCTTGCGGGGCGCGCGCGAGCCACGGGCCCGCCGGGGGCGCGCGCGGGGAGGCCAGGCAACGGCAACCTCCGCACCGGCGGCGCGCGCCGCCCCGGCTGCTGCGGCGGCGCGCAGCGCGGGTGCCGCTGAGCCGCAGAACCGCCCCCATCGCCCCCACGAGGCCGTCCACGGTGGCCAAGAGCTCGCCCGCCACGCCCCGGCGTGGGGCGATGCGCTGCATGCGGACGACCTCCGGCTCGCAGCTTCCCCCGCGGGGGCGGCCGGCGCGGCGCGGCGCGCAAGGCGGCGCGTCGGCCACGCCAGTCCCCCCACCTCGTCCTCGTCCTTGTCCCCCTCCTTTTCTCTCCTGCACCTCGTCCTCGTCTTCGTCCTCCGCCTCGTCCTCGTCCTCCTCCTCCACTTCGTCCTCGCCCTCCACCTCGCCCTCGTCCTCCTACGTTTCATCCTCTCGCACTCCTCTCATGGACTGTCGGAGCAATGCTTGCACTTGCTTGCGCTGCCCAGAGCAAGCGGCCGACGTTTCCGACGTTTGGTCCAAGGGCTGCGAAGCGGGGGATTCCTCCGCCATGCAACAGTTCTGGCGACCAGTGTGACAGTTGTGACGCGAGGGCCCCAGGCCGAAGAGCATCCCAGTACCGCCCCGAACGCACGTTACTTTAATTTTGCATGGGCGCCCTGGGATACATACAACACGATAGGTTCGGGCTGCCGAGGCCAGAAACGCTTGATGATTAAGACGTGGCTGCGATCCCTAAGCTAGCCGTTCAATAAGTTGCAGCGAAGTCTCGCACCCGAGGCCACAAGCCCTTCAAAACTACAACGAAGTCGTGGTCTCCAAGGCACACCCCCTTCGAAAATTCACAAGAGTTGGCGCTCTCGAGGCCACGACCCCACGTCAATCACTAGACGTCGGCGCCCCCCAGGATTCACACGCATGTCCTCGTACATTGCGAAACGATGGCGTTGCTGAAGCCGCCGTGCGCTGGCGAGCCCCATCGTACGCCCACTGCGTTGATCTTGAGAACCCCACCAACTATTATGTATATCCACTCCGAACAAGTACTCAGCCAGACCCCAAAAGTCACGATAAAAACGAAAGTGCGAATATTCACAAAAAAAGAGCAGCACGCGCGACAAAAATCCCTTGCAGAACCAGCAAGATTCCTCCGCAGCGGGCGGCGGCGGGGAAAGGGGGGCACGGGCGGGGCGGGGCGTGGAGGGCCAAGCGAATCATGTGAGATTGCACGGGTAGCCGAATGAAAAGGGGGCGCACCGAAAAAGCTGAGGCAGCTGAGCAACAACAGCACCATGAAATGCAGCAGGCATTCCATTGCACAACAGCACACGCAGCTGCCATCGCCCCGGGAGGCGGCGCCGTCACGGCGGGCAGGCGCGCAAGGCACGCTGGCCCTCGAACGAGGACTTGCCGCTCACAGCGTGGGAGGAAAACAATGCGATGATAATCCAGCAAAACAAGGGCATGCGACGTCTAACGCCAAAAGAAAGCAATACAATCCAATGCTAAATCCTGCCGCAGATCCTGATCGCGAGCGGACTCTTGCCAAAAAGGCAAAGCTCATTTTCCCATCGGGAAAAAACTGCCCCGCCTACTCCTCAAACGCCTCGTTCGCGATGTCTGGGCCTGGTCGCGCCACCAAACACTGTCTCTCCACATTGTTGCCCCCCCGGCCCATCGCGATTGCTCCAAGCTTGCCAGGCGGCCGGCCCCTGCCCATGTGTATAGGAATGTGCTGCTGGGGCCAACATTCAACTCTTGCCCGCCTGGCCTTCTTTTCTGCTACGCGAGTAACCCTTTGAATCCCGTGAACGCAGTCTTTTCCCGGGCGCCGCCCGGGGCCGGCGATGCGCCTGAGCACTGCCCACTGCGCCTCTGAGTGCTGCGAAGCCTGCGTTTTTGAGCAACCGTGAGTTCCCATACTTCGCAGCACCAGCGCTGTCTTGGTCATTGTTGCATCGAAGAGCTTGAGTCTGCGAGCTGGGGGGGCTTCCTTTCTTTGTAAAACACCTTTGAGCGAGCGAAATGTCTTCCAAGCCGCCCTCGAGCGATTGTCAAAACTCCACGTTGGTAGCGCCGCCCATACTAATCATCGCCCCCAATACTTTGAAGCCAGTGTTGCAATCAACCATTGGGAATCAGATATCCCCTGTTTCGACGTTTTCGCTGGAGGCGTGTGTCTGTCCGGCGCATTGCACGCTGCATTTGTCAGCATTAATCTTTTAACCGATCATCCCAAGCTCTGCGTTGGTCGACTTGAGCACTGAAGCAAAACTTTTCGACACTTGGCAGTCAGGGTCGCGTCGTCGGCATGCGCGCAGTGCGTCGCGGGTCGTTGCACGCGACGCCATTGCCAACTACCGCTCCATATCCTTTCCATTCCCATTGCTCTTTCAGCCCAGCCAGGGCGACCCGGGCTGCGTTGATGAATGACGATGGGGATAGCGGGTCTCCTGTTCGCACACCGCGTAAGATCTCGAAGTGCTCGCTCCGTAAGGACGCGTCCAGCTGGATGTAGGCCCGTTGCTTTGCGCGCAAGTCCCACACTGCATCGATGTCGTGGCTGTCGACCCCGGCGCGCCGTAGTCCGGGCAAAAA